ACTTCAGGCTGTTCAGGGAATTAGTGAGTAAGGTCCTCTAGGAAAATGTTTTTGCAGGTGCTGGGGTCCATCAATGCTGATCGCTTTTTCAACATCACCTCCTAAGGGCTCAGGGGCAGGCAATTCCCAAATGCTGGCAGTGAAGAAGGTGAAGCAGAAGGCTGGCTTGGCTGAACAGGAATCTTCTCTTAGAGATAAGGCAAAAAAGGAAGGTGGATGACCAGTGGAAGCAAGGTCAAGTGACATGGGAATAATTCAGAGATGCTGCTTGCCACTGTAGGGAGAAAATTCGTGTGGCCAAAGCTCAACGGGAGTTGAAGCTGCCAGAAATGTGGGGGACAATACAAAGAGTTTTTTCAAATACATTAACGGCAATAGCCAGTATAGAAATGTCATTGTCCTGTTACAGGAAAGGGATGGTCACCTCACAAATGGAGACAGAGCCAATGCAGAGGTGTTTAATGCTTTCTCTGCCTCTCTCTTCAACACAGATGATGGACCAAGGGGGTCTCAGTGCCCTGAGCTGAAGGACCATGACTGTGACTTAAACCTGAAATTGCATGGGGTCTACTGCTCCAGCTGGATCCCTACAAATCCATGGGGCCCGATGGGATTCATCCCAGAATCCTTGAAGATCTGGCTGATCTCCCAAAACCTCTCTCAATGATTTTTGAGCAGTCTTGGGAAAACAGAGGAGTCCCAGCTGACTGGAAGCTGGCAAACCTTGTCCTGATTTTCCAGAAGGACACTGAGGACCCTGGAGACTACAGGCCTCTCAGTCTCACTTCAGTGCCTGGAAAAGTTGTGGAGATTATTCTGGGAGGTGTGTTGAAAAACACCTGAGAGACAATTTTGTCATTGGTCACAGCCAGCATGGCTTCATGAGAGAAAAGTCCCACTTATCAAACCCTATTTTCTTTTATGACAATTTAACCCACTTAGTTGATCAATGGAAGCCAGTTGATATAATCTTTTTGGATTTCAGTAAAGCTTTCGATACTGTCTCTCACAGGATCCTTCTGGACGAAATGTCCAGCACAGCTGGATAAACACATGCAATGGGGGAGCAATTGGCTCACGGGTCAGGCACAGAGGGTAACAGTGAATGGGGTAACATCAGACTGGTGACCTGCCACTGATGGGGTTCCACAGAACTCTGTTGTCAGCCCTGTGCTCTTCAATGTGTTCATAAATGACTTGGACGCAGGACTGGAAGGGATACCGAGCAAGTCTGCAGATGACACAAAACTGGGACGAGCTGTTGACTCCCTCGAAGGCAGGGAGGCCCTGCAGAGAGACCTCGACAAATCAGAGGACTGGGCAATCACCAACCATTGGAAGTTCAACAAGGGGAAGTG